GCTGTCATCAAGCAGCTCGTCCTCACTTCCCCCAAATTAGATCAGGTCGCTCGCACCAGCAGAGGGACGCTGATCAGACTGGGAGAAAAGGACGGGGGAATACTCTCTTTGGGGAGAGAGCGAGGCACGGGGAACTGGGCCGACGTGGGCTCGCTCGCAGCTGGTCGCTCGACCCCTCTGCCCCGCTGTTTTTTCCTTACAGGTCTCTGGGAGGAAGAAAACGGGAGGGCGTGAGGGGCGGAGTCGCTCTCTGAAAAGAAAGCAATACGTGAGCGGAGAGAGGCGAGACTGAAGCTCTAGCAGTGGGAACAAATAGCTCCCATGAGTGCAGCTTCCGCATGGGATTTCCCCAAGCAGGAAACGCACTCCGTGTGGCCGTCATCGGCATGCAGGGGAGACCCGCACGAACCGCAGTAACGGCGTGGTATTTGCAACAACGCCAATTTGCTCTTTTAGAAGCTCTTTTAATATCGCCGGATGGCGGCAGGGGAAACGGACCGGAACTGCTGCGCCGCTGGAGCGGCGGAGAAGCAGGTCAGACGTGCTGAGAGGTCCCGATTCCAGCCGCGAAGGCGTGTCAATCGGATTCGGACTAGCTTGAGGACGTAGAGTCATCGCTGAAGCAGAAGAAATCTGAGAATCCTGTGGCGAACGCCCGCTTATATAGCCAGATGCCCTGCCCATTCTGGCGGGATTTGGCTGGCTTTGGCGGGCTTCGTCGCCATAGGCTCGTGCAGCTCCTCTGCCTAGCCATTGGTTCTTTTTTAATGCACTGCATGAACCAATGGTCGTGCAGTTTCACTGCGTTAATGAAAAGGCTTCAGTTCAGGAGAAAAAGGCTTTTTTCCCATATGCGGCTAGCAGACACAATACGAGTGTAGTATAGAAAGGGAACTAATTCATACAGGTTTGAAACAACTCGAGGGTGAGTAAATGATAACAGACTTTTATTTTTGGGTGAACTATCCTGACTCTTTTACTGGGGCACAATGCATAAATAGAAAAAAAGCATGTAATGAAACTTTAGTGTGTTTGAATTATTTAAAACATGAAGGATGATTCAAATACCAGCTGAAGCGAAAATATCCCGCGCATCCTTTTCAGTCATGCACGCCCCCTTCTCGTGCTTTTCCGCCCACTTTCTCTCTTCTTGCAGTCGGACGATAATTCAGAATACACCGTTGTATCCGAAGAGTTTGAGGTAACTACCAAGCTAATGCTTATTGCTGTTAACGAGTAGTATTTGAATTGGTTTATTTCAAGACAACCTGTTTTCCAGTGACGCTGACTGGCGATTTCTGTTATCTTGTTACTTCTAAAAGAGTGCTTGAGATTTTTTTTAAAATAGTATTGTTTGAAGCTTGTAGTGCTGTTTTTGAAACAAAATGCAACTACAGAAGCGCCCTGAGAGGACAAATATCTAGGCTACCTACATTACGTGAATGTTTCGAATCTTTTTTCCATTGTTCCACTGCATTTCTGTTGTTTTTCTATTATGTAAACACGTGCTACAGGAACGCCGACGCGTCGTCGTTTGCAGCGTCAAAACGCTGCGCTCAAGTTAAAAGTTGTTACATTTTTTAAAACGGGCCTGGAGAACCTCCAAGGGTGCATCAAAGGCCTGAAAATGGACTAATGTTTTTTTTCTATAAAAACCAGAGTTCTCATGGTCTTAGAAATTCTGCATATATATACTAAAAGTGTAAATCACAAAATTACTGGATAAGAGTGGAAACCCTGAAGAACATTTTGTTGTTACAACCTATGAAATCCCATTTTAATTATTTTAACTGTATTTTAACTGTAAATTGTTTTAATCTATGCATAGTCCTAGTTTATTTATTTATTTAAATGTTTAAGTCAGTGAATGTTTATGAAAGGCATCTGTGTATAAGCAATTTAATAGAAGATCTGCATGAATTTATCTGAACTGTATACATTCAAATTAATGAATGATATGTATTTTGTTTTCATATGTGTAATCCATTTAGGCTCACTCTCACATATTCACAGTTCAAGTGATTATATTTGCAACATTAGACGTTTACAATACAAAGAGCACAAAAAATCATTGAATAAATGCTTATTGTGCCATAGGAGATGGATGGAGAATTATTTACAGATTCAGAGCAGGATTGGGCCAGTGCATCTGAATCTGACTGGATGAACGAGACGGGAAAAGGGAAAGGAAAACAAGGGGGGAAAAGAAAGATGAATCAACAAAACAGTAGCAAGAAGAAAATAGCCAGAAGTAAAAACTCTAGGCTTCCAGGTAAGCATAAAACGATACCTAGAATAAATATTTTTAACTTTGATTCTTGAAACAGTCGGTGATCTAGATTGTTCATGTTTTTAATAAGATTCTAAAACCACGTCAAGACAGTTGGCAGCATTGACACCATTTGTGAAGTAAGCTGAGGTTCATTAGCAGATCCAATATTACATAACATTTGCCCCTCATAGACCTGAAGAAGATGAATGCTGAATCAGTTATGAAGCAGACTAAGCCAGAATGTGAACTGAAGGAAAACTGCTCAGAAACCGATTTTAATGAAGATGGCAGAAGGAGAATGAAAGAAAAAACGAAAAAGCAAAGATGCTTCAAGCAGAGTAACAACAAGAGGCCATTTTCCCACCAAATATCCAGTGTAAACAGGCAGAACAAGAATAAAAATGACACGGGTAACTAATGCTTTAATGCTTTAGTTTTTTTTCTTCCCAATAATGTCAAACATCTCCTAGATATTTTTGTTGTTGTTGTTTTAATCTGAAGAGTAATTTTATACTGTTTTTGTATGATTGTACCATGAGAAAATATTCTTCTATATGTTTTTTTTTTTAGAGGTAGACGTAACAGATGTCTTTCAGGAAGTCAGAAATAAGAAACAGCTGGCTGTTCGTTGTGGAAAAATGGCAGGTTGTCTGTACAGAATAAAATATGACAATGGTAAGTTTTGGGAGGACAAAAATAATTATTAATTGTATTTATTTTTCACATTGTGAGACAGAAATTAAATTGCAGATTGAAATGAGATTTAACTAATGTAGAGTCACTTAATAAATAAATACACACACACACACACACACTACATGTACAAAAGTATTGGGACACTTCACCATTACACTTTGACTTTAATTACATTATTAGTTAGTTGGTCCCCCCTTTGCAGTTATAACAGCTTCAGCTATATCAGAACAACTTTACTGGGAAGGATTTCCACAAGATTTTGTAGTTTTTCTGTGGGAATTTTTGCCCATCCAGTGGAGCTATTGTTAGGTCATTTCATTTCATTTATTTTATTTAATCAGGGACAATGAACATTAATAGTACACAAAATATGTAAAATGTGCCAGATTTAGCCAACACTGGCTAATTTTTATCCGTAGTCCCTTTTGGCAGGTTGATGTTAAGGACAGGAAGAAAATATAAACAAAGAATATTAATACACCAAATTAAGAACAAGGAGAAAATATGAAAACAGGAGGAAAAAATAAACTAAGCCTTATAACTAATAAACTAAGCCTACCATACCATATCCATAAATCACTATAAATGATCACAATTTTGATGGGTCAATAACCATATTTTCAGCTTTTTCGAGAAACCAAAGTGTCCTGTTAAATGTTTTAATTCTTTCAGCTCTACTGGGAGTCTATTCCACTCATGTGTTCCTCTGAAAGCAAAAGATAATTGATCAAAGGTAGTTCTTCTTAATGGCACGTTACAATCACCTCTAATACCGGCATGTCTATACCGTCCTGTTATCTGATCTATGTAATTCTTAAAAACAGGTGGAGCAAAACCATTTAAGATCTTAAAAATAAGTACCAAATCAGCAAATTTAATCAAATGTTCCCAACTTAAAATAGAAAACTTAGTTAATATCCTACAATGGTGAAAACCATTGTTTTTTTATCCAAGACCTTAAGAGTTCGTTTGTAAATAATTTTAACTGGTTTAAGAAAAGACCTACATGTTTGAGTCCAGGTAGTCATACAATATGAGGAATAATCATTGAATTCATGAATTGAACTGCTGCTTCGTTGATCAAACTATTTCTGATAAATCTGAAATTCGCTAAATTAAATTTCACTATATTTACCACTTTCTTCACGTTTTTTAAAAGAAAGTTGAGAATCTAATAATAATACTAAATATTTAAATTCATGTACTACCTCAAGTTTTTGTTCCTGGACAAATACATCTGCTTTCACATCATAGTCTGGCCTTTTAGTAAAAAAACATACAAACAGTTTTTCTGACATTAAGATGTAAACGTGAGTTGATAAGCCATTGTGCAACTTGATTCATAGTGTCAGTCAATTTCTGTGCAACCTGTTGTTGACTTTTTGCATGTACATACAACACAACATCATCCGCATACATTTGACAAATAACATCTGGACATCATTTAACATACATTTACATACATACTAAACAATTATGGGCCTAAAATAGAACCTTGTGCAACTCCAAGTAATCTGATGTCGCTTTAATAACCCGTACACATTGTTTTCTATTTTCTAAATAAGATTTAAACCACATAATGGCCTCAGTTGAAAAATTAAAATTGAATAACCGAGAAAGTAAAATCTCATGATTTACAGTTTCAAAAGCTTTCTTAAAACCCAGGAATACAGCACTAACTACACCTCCTTTATCCATCAAAGATTTAATATTTTCCAACATAAAACAATTTGCCGTTTCTGTAGAATATTTTTTTCTAAAACCGAATTGCATAGGGTGAAGGGAAAAGGCACTATTATTAAGATATGTGATTATTTGCTCCGCTACCGATTTTTCAGTGACTTTCGACATTACAGGGAGAATACTTATTGGTCTATATTTACTCATTTCTGTATAACTTCCATATTTATGAACAGGGGTAATTACTCCAAATTTCCATCCAGAGGGGAAAATTCCTTGTTATCGATAAATTAATAATCTGAGTTAGAGGTCCGGTAAATTAATTACTAAAATTAGTCTGGAGTTTTTTTTTTTTTTAAATATTATCCAATCCATATTTATCTTTAGCTGTTGAATTTTTAAGTGAACTAATTATTCTATCAACTTCTCTATTTGTCACCTGTTTAAGAGTAAACTTGGACAAGACACAATCCATCAATGCAATACATGGAATATCCGGACAATTAGACTTAGAACAATTATTACATCTACAAAATAATTATTAAAAGTATTTGCTATCATAGCATGATCGCTAATTCGTTTTCCTTCTAACTCTAGTTCTATATTTCTCACTGATTTTTTTATATTTTCCTGTTAAATTTCTCAGATTTTCCCATATCAATTTAGTATTTCCTTTTCCCTGCTCTATTATAGAAATATAAAAATTTGCTTTTGCTTTTCTAATTTCGTTTATTACTCTATTTCTTAATTTATAAAAATTTCGCTTCTCACATTCCATCTTAGATTTTAGAAACTGTTTCAATGCGTTATCTCTTTGTTTCACAAGTGACCCGATATTTTTATTTAACCAAGGTAAGCAATTTTTCTTCCTTGGTCTACTTTTAACTTGTCTCATAAAACTATTCACAGTAGTTTGAATAACATCCATTAGAACATTTGTATCCCTTTCAACACAATTTTGAGAAAAAAATGTTCTTCCCACTTTATATTTTCTAATGCCCTTTTTAAATGATTCAAATCACTTTTTGGTATTCTAAAATTCCATGTTTTTCTATTTATAGTCTGATGGCTAAACCTCTTCTTTGTCAGTTTTCTTACTACCAAAGTTAAATTATGATCTGACAATCCTGTTATCATATTAAAAGTCTTAAGTATGTGATCAGGTTTATTTGTAAAAATTAAATCAGTTTGTGTTTCAGACGATCTAGTTATTCTTGTGGGTCCTTTTACAAGCTGCTTCAGATCAAAGTTACTAGTTATATCTTTCAATTTCTTCCTTCCAGTTTTATCTAACCAATTTACATTTAAGTCTCCAAGTAGAATAACTTCTTTGGTAAAATCACATAATTTAAGCTTATATAATTTATCATAAAATGAATTTTTTGCCGAAGGTGGCCGATAAACTGCTATCATTATAAAAGACATTTGTGGTGAAAGAGAAACATCTAAAACTGTACATTCAATATCAAAGTTATAAGCTAACTGTAGTTCAGTACACCGAATACTATCCTTAATATAAAACATAATACCCCCACCTCTACCCACCAACCTATCCCTTCTAAAAAATTATAACCAGGAATGCACAACATTGCTGATGGTGAAGTAGCACTCAACCATGATTCAGTCAGAAAAAAAAAATCCAAATTTGAATTTGTGACAAGATGTTTCATGTTTTCGTGAATATTTAAATGACCACCCAACAATCCTTTTGGTTTGGCATCAATGTCCCACAGAATCCTTGCATGATTTACAGTTTTAAGAAGTTTCACTTGTCTCTGTTTGATAATTGCCGGATTTACTCTGTACTTAAATCTCACCTCTGAGCTCATTTGATTCAAAATTTGCGAAGAGGACACAATCAGCACTTTTTCCGATGGTAAAGCGTCTACATTACTCAAGTCTGTCCTTAAAGGCTGTATAGAACCCTGGTTGCTCTGCATCACCATATCGAAGCACTCGCCCGATGAGACACACCATCAACTAGACCCTGAGCTACAGGAACAGTCGAGCCAGCTGCCTCCAAACCAATCCCCGGACGCAACACACTGGCCAAGCACCCACCCTCCATCCGATGAGGCACATCACCAGCAACATGCGCCATGAGGCCGTCCAAATCGACGATCATCGGCCCGGGATCCAGATGTATACAGTCAAATTTTCTCTGCGTCACACCCACGAAACACTCGCCTTTTATTTGGTGAGATATACCGTCAGGAGCACGCGGCACAGGGATGCCCAAATCGGCCATCGTCGGCCCGGGACTCAAATGCACAAAATCCTGATTACTCTGCAACTCTCCAGCGAGGTAATCACCCTTCACTTGTTGAGGTGCACCATCCGTAGTAAGTGCCACCGGTGCATTCAAATGAGGTATAGTCGGTCCTGGATTTAGATGTACATCTCCCGAGAGTAGTAACAGAGTCAACAGGATATATCCAAACACACTCCATCTTTCTTCAATCTGTTTGATGTTCTTTCCTTGTCGTTTTATTCACAGTTTTTGGCAATTTGCCCCTTCATGCACGAGTATATTCTTATAAATTATAAGATGTATAATCTGTCTTTAGTATGGCGTTGATGTGATCAGTCTCTTCCTCCACATGGACGGCTCTGATGTATCATGACACGGCCGCGTCGGGATTATCAGTAGTGCGGCAACATAGATTACTGTAACCATCCACTGAGACTTTAACATACAGTATATTGTTTATAACTATTTTGATATTCTGTGCTATTTAGCTGATAGTACTTCGAATTCAAGTACTACCCTCTGCCATCTTGGATCTTCTTCATCAGGCACTGATGTTGGACAAGAAGGCCTGGCCTCACAATCTCCGTTACAGTTCATCCCAAAGGTGGGGTTGAGGTCAGGGCTACATATGTGCAGGCCATTCAAGTTCTTCCACACCAAACTCATCCATGTCTTTATGGACCTTGCTTTGTGCACTTCGGCACAGTCAAGCCTGGTTTATACTCGCACGAGGGCAAAGGTGTGCATGGCCAAAATGATGTCATCGTGGAGTGGGTGGCTGTGCGCGTTGAGTGAGTGAGGCCCCATTTCACGTGGCGGTGTGCATGGTATTTTTTGTAACTTTGCTCATGGCTCCTCTTCTGAAGATGCACAGCTTCAGGGCGACTCTAACCAAATAGGCACATCTTCACTGGCATCTTTATGAATCGGAAGAAACATGAAGTGGAACAGAAACGGGGAAAAGAAAAGAGCCTACCTCAAACTCCCACTAAGTTGGAAGCATAGCATTGTGCAAAATGTTTTGGTACAGTATGCTGAAGCATTAAGTTTCCCTTCACTGGAAATAAGGGGTCTAGGCTAAATGCTGGAAAACAGCCCCATGTTTATGCACAACGCTCCTCAGCACATTATCCCTCTCCTACTGAACTTGCAGTTGGGCAAGTTATCCACTAAACCCAGACTCACTCATCAGACTGCCAAACAGAGAAGTGTGATTCCTCACTCCGCAGAACAGGTTTCCTCTGCTCCAGAGTCCAGTGGTGGTGTGCTTTACACCACTCTATCCAACTCTTAGCATTGTACTTGATGATGTGAGGCTTGCATGCAGCTGCTCACCTATGCAAATCCATTCCATAAGCTCCTGCCACAGTTTTTCTGCTGATATTAATACCAGTGGAAGTTTGGAACTCTTCAGTTATGGAATCAACAGAGCGTTGGCGACTTGTATACACCATGATCCTCAGCACTTGACAGCCCCGCTCTGTGACTTTAGATGGTCTTTGCTTCGTGCTGCTGCTCCTAAATACTTCACTTACAGTTGCCAGTGGAATATCTAGCAGGGATACAATTTCACAAACTGGCTTATTGCAAAGGTGGCATCCTATCACAGTACCACACTTGAATGCACTGAGCTTTTAAGAACCACCCATTTTTTTCACAGATGTTTTTAAATGCATGGCTAAGTGCCAAAGTGTCTCGTTCCCTCTGTCCGTTTTAATAAACCAGAATTTATTATTTAAAATATGTGCACTCCATTTATATGTTCTGTATAATGTTTCTCTGTCTTCAGGAGAGAAGTGTATTTCATGTAAAGGGAAATGGTTTACGCCCAGACAGTTTGAGGAGTTTGGAGGAAAAGGGCATCACAAGAAGTGGAAGGGTAGCATCTATTACAAGCCATCAAATGGTCGTCAACAAGTTAAATTACTGAAACTCATACAAGTATGTATTCAGCTAGTGTGAAATCTGAGTTTATTTGACATTTTTTTTATAAGCATATGTGAACTTCATCTTATTTAAATGAACTTTCCTTTTTCTCCTAGAATGGGTGCCTTTCAGAGTTTGGACAACTGAGGGAGTCAGTTAGACAGGTATTTAGTATATATAGTACCAATGCACAAGTTATAAGCCCATGGGCCATAAAACATACATGATATTCATATGTTGTAGTTCAGCCTCACAACAATGATTGTATTCTGTGGGTTATGAATCAACTTTAATATTTTTTACTTAGTTTTACTTTTGAAAATGATCCATTAAGTTACTAATATCATGCTGAGATGTTTTAAAATCACTACCACTGTATTTTACCATAGGTGACACAGACAGAGAGAGATGGTGCAAACTCAGTGCAAAATGTAACAAGAAGGAGTGAATTAATTAACTCCTTAAAAGGTTTTCCAGAGTCCTGGAAAAGACTGTTTTCCAAGACTCTGGAAATACCTGTGTGTGGAATTGAAGAGAAAACAATCCAGCCGGGTGAGTTTGAATCAACATTTTAATTTCAGATTTATTAGTTAGTGATAATTAAAACTCTGTCTCACTATCACACCATCTATAGTGTTTATTACCTGTTCTTCAGTTTTCTGATCCCCACCATACTTCCATGAGGTTGTTTTGCACATATTAAGCCAGGTTGCTGAGTATAGATTGCCAAAGTGCTTTATCTCTCATTGTTAGTGTTTCTGTTTTTTTATGTGGTCGTCTACAATGACCCTAAAAAGGTTTATGGTTGTTTTCTACCACATACAGACAGTTCTTCAGATGAGTCTGTATCTGTTGCTGAGAGAGTCAAAATGGTGAGATGTTTATTTATTGATCAATTGTAAATTATTAGTTTAATTATTACTGCATGTGTATTATCCTATTGTGGAGAGTTGAGTTTAGCGTATGATGTATCACAATATATTTTTAAGGGATATAAATGGAAATATATAAATTTATATTATTATTATTATTATTATTATTGACAAGATGTCATAACTCACATGACAAATTCTGCTCACATTCTGAGGGAGTCGTTATATAAAAATAATTAAATATATAAAATTAATCCAAATAACTAACGTTATCTTTCACTTTCTCCCTCAGTTACTGAAATGTACCCAATTACTGTGCCCAAATATCCTTCATTAACAAATTAAGCATTTCTTTAATCTTATCCTTTTTTTTTTTTGGCACAGAACAGGAGAGAATCTGTGATTTTAGCTGAAACTGTCAATAAAAAGATGACAGAACCGGTAGAATCTACTGCCAGTGCTAGAGGTTAGTGTGCTCTTTTATTTTCTGTCATGTTATTTCTCTTATTTTGAACTTTATGGGTTTGCCATACCATATTTTTATTAGACTATCTTTGGTCACTTTCATATCTCTTGTTTTTGCTTCTCATTAGAGTAAGAATATTTATAGTTGAACAGTAACCTCTGAGCAACCTTTGAAAACTCTTACCAGTGTCTATTACTGAGTGGTACTAATATTTCTTTATTTCCTTTGGGTTTTAAAATTTTAGACTTTGTCTAATCTCTTATCTCTTTGTCCTTCCCCAAACTAAGATTCATCTGCACCTCCCACTGATGCTACAGAACCTGCAGTATCTCCTGTCGTAGAGGAGGCCAGTCAGACCACAGATGAAGCAGCAGCAGCAGCTCAGCTGAACTTCAGTGATTCACCTGCTGAATGGCAGAACCCTGTTGCTTCTGAAGAGACTGAGAAGACAGGCCAGATGCAGCTATTTGAATTTCTGGCAAACCAGTTTAATACCATCAACAACACCCTAAAATCAATTGATTTGTCTTTGAAGAAGCTGATAGAAAAACAGTCACAAAACACACTGCCTCAATACATCAGTCTAACTCCTGCTGTTATTGAAAATCCCCAGATTCACTCCTCAGTCAAGGAGGAGCAAATCACGGAAGTTTTAAATCACTGAAGTAGACTAAACTTTGACACTGAACAAATTAGGGGTAATACTGAGAATGCAGAACTGTGATCTGAGAGGTTATGATTAAAAATATATATCTTTACTAGATAATTATTACACAAGTTTGGTTTTAATGTGCAATAGCCAAGAAAATTAACATCTTTTGGTAAAATCGTTTGCTGTTTTTTTGTTTGCCACATATTTAAAATGTGAAAATCTCAATTTTATTTAATTTCGATTTTTTTTTGTCACATTGTCCAGAAACAAAACAGCATTGAGGTTTCAATCCACTTCATGCAGTTAAAATAATTTATCAAATATAACAGCGTCACCATAAAACCATTAAATATTTACAGTAAACTATAAAAATATTCCCATTTTGTCTCTGGGTCAGGTTATTAACTGGCAAATGTACCTATAATCACTTTTGATCACTCATAATCAGCTTTATTAATTAGATCTCATTACAATGTCTAAAAGATGATAATATCCTGAGACCCTACATAGAATAAGTGGTATGGAGGATGAATGGATGGATGGATAGGATATTTCTTATTTGAGAATTGCTGTACAACTACTATCTTTTCATTGCAGCAGGCATTGTTTTTGTCAATATGGGATGCAGGTGGCAGTGTTGTGCAGAACCTCTGCTTTTCTGTTATTCTTTATAGACCTTTCACTGTCAGTGTTCAGGTACCTTAAAAGTAAGATGTGTCATTTCTGTGATTGCAAAAATAAAATAGTTTTAAACAGTCCGACCACACTTTCTGATATGCTCTGACAAACAGGTAGCCCGTCTAAACATACGCCATTGGATTATACATACCTTCTGTTTTAAAGGGGTCATATGATGTTGCTAAAAAGAACATTATTTTGTGTATTTGGTGTAATTAAATGCGTTTATGCGGTTTAAGGTTCAAAAAACATTATTTTCCACATACTGTACATTATTGTTTCTCCTCTATGCCCCGCCTTTTTGAAACGCGTCGATTTTTACAAAGCTCATCGGTCTGAAAAAGTGAGGTGTGCTCTGATTGGCCAGCTATCCAGTGCGTTGTGATTGGCCGAATTCCTCAAGCGTGTGACGGAAATGTTACGCCCCTTACCATATTGTGATGCCTGCGGCAACCACATGTGACGACCCCGGGCTGGACTCCGCTTCGTCCACATTCACGTAGTGAAAGCCGATCCAGCGATCGACAGCGCGAAGTTGTTATATTTCCTCAGCGACCAGCACGGATCAGCTCTAGGCATGACGAAGCAGATATCGTCCTCTTTTGGGCCACCAAACAAAGTAGTTTCGCTTTCACAACGAAACACACAGCGCCTTCACGACATGGCGGCGGCGGCAACAATAGGAAAAATTGAAATCGCATCATATGACCCCTTTAAAAAAAACAATACAGAGCCAGATATTTACACTGTTTTGGAAATTGCCCTAAAATGGGTTATTTATAGCTAGTTGTCTTTACATATTATGTTTCAAGTCATTTTAAATAGTAAAGAAGTAGAAGGTTTGCATCTTTTACATGTTGTCAATCGGCCTGCAAGTGCAATTGGAGAAACTAGCCCTCATGTGTGAACTTAATTTTACTCTTCCTCATCAGATTTACATCAACTTATTTGTATAACAGTATTTATCCAATAGTAGGAATGTACCATACTAAGTAGCTAAGTAAAATATCTTGTGGAGAAGTGCTGGTTTAAAAGGGTGGCGTGACATAATTTGTGTTTGTATTAAGTGAATCAAACCACATTTAATTTACTTAACAATATGGTTTTAATTCATTCTCTTTGTCCTTCTCCAAACAAAAGTTGCACTACAGTTTGTGCTTGCAAAGATAATTTGACTGTATATGTTTATTTTTTTTAAATTATGTAATTTTGCTTCCATATTGTAAAGTACAGTAAGATATCACGTGTTTTTGTTTTAGAAATATATTGTATCATAAAATACGCCCCGTTGCAAAAACGTTTTAATGCAGATCAGAATGAATATATTAGAATAAAATAAACATGACCTTATTATAATAGTGTAAATGTATTATGTGCAAATATCTGTCATTCCCACTGAAGTCTCGTCAGTAGGTCACGCATGCGCGCGCTGATAGCTCCGAAGTAACCCTGGAACAGAAGCTGCTCCGGAGCAGGTTATGTTCAGAGAAATGCTATGGCTACTTAAATACCCTAAAAGTGATGCTTTTGGAACTGAAAACTGAGTTCATCCGCTCACTTACCTTAAACATAAGCAGCCAGGTATGTCAGATTACCTGCTTTATGTTAAATATATATTGTGTGTGTGTGTAGCTGACCAGACTGTGTGTGTGTGTGTGTGTGTGTGTGTGTGTGTGTGTGTGTGTGTGTGCGTGTGTGTGTACTTGTCTTTTCCAGTGGGGAACCGTCAGGGCCCTCTAGGCCCTCAGAGAGGCCCTAACTTATCGTAAAA